AAGCATATTTAGCCAAAAATAATAACAAGTGAATTAACTTAACGTTCTACACACCTATAAANNNNCGACGCGCTGATGAGATCCAAAAAGATCGAAATCGCGATCCGCGTCTGGCAGTTTCGACAGAATACAGACCACTTCGAATTATTTTGTTCAATCATTAGTTTATTACTATATCGTAATTATACTTTATTGTCTCTTTTCTCATTTTATTTTGCTTTCTGTCGCTTCGAAAATAGAACCAGAATTGAATGCTTCCGATTTTTTTTTAAGTTTTTCCTCGAGGAGGACAAATCTCTTGCTGTAGGGAGGTCAACCGGAAGGTTTTGTATCGCAGAAAAGGTTCTGTGGAAAGATGAGAAGGGAAAGGGAATTGAGTGTGGAAGGTGTTGCAAAGATAATCGCTGGCCCATCTCGCTTGTTTTTATCGAAAGAACTACTGACAACTATTTCTAGGAGTTAAACTTGTTCTAGAAAGATTCCAGGATGTAGAATGTGGAAATTCTGGGTTTCTTTAGATATAGGAAACCCACTTGCAGACCTCTTGACGCTTCTTAACTTTTCGCTTTCTGTATTTGTTTCTACCTCTCCCAAGCTGAAATTTCGTATACGCCTCTGTCATATACCTTTTGGTGTAGACGAATATGCAAGGTACATGTACACACGCGTTTGTATGAATATACGTACCAACAAATACAATCATTTATGTGTGGACAAATGTATGTCTTAGTGGAATTTTAAAAGGAACTGAAAGATTTATTGGCAAGATACGTTAGACATTGTACCAACATACGACCCATAAAATATTGGTCCATATTTAATATGCTAGCTGTAACTAAGAGTTTTAGTACGCGCTGCCTTGGTTCAAACGGTAATTGAGTTTGAAAATGGGAAATTTAATTGACTTTAACCTATTTGTCGACTTTACAATCGAAATTCAAATATTGTGTAATTGTTATATGGTGACAGATATTACCTAAATGACTGTTTTTACTTACTGTGTTCGAAAACAAATACCATTTAAGAAATTTTAAATACCAACTGGATAATCTTGAAGTTTTTCATTAATTTTATTGCTTTAACAATAAACGAAGTATTTGACAAGAAGTCTTGTGGCTTATTAACCGCCATTTGAAGAAACCAAAATGACTACGGTTTTGGTTTATTTATGGTTATATATTTATATATATACATATATACATAAATGTCGGAAAGTACCAAAAATCTTCATCCAGTAAGATTCAAATCAGTTAATTTAAAAAGTTTAACTTTCTAAAAAGTTTTCCCCTATCTTTATTATTATTACCTACTTTATTTTTTACGGTAATAGTAGTAAGTAATTAAGTGCTATTTAATTTTCTATTCGACATTAAGAATTGTAATAATAAAAGTTGATAGAAATTTGCTATTTTCCTGTTCTAAAGCGGAACTCCAGAAAAACGCTTTCATTTTTAGAATAGGTATATTAAAATGTCTTGCGCCTTCGCCAAATTTGTTACTTAATTGCGTTTCATTCAATTATCACAGAATATTTTTTATTTTACGGCATCTAATCTTTTATTAAAATATATATATATATGTATCGATATGCCAAGTTCTTGGTTATATAAAAATATAACGAGGCTACCTGTTTATATATATATGTATAAATGTTGATAGAATTTTCGTGAAGAATCGTTCTGAAATGTTCTATTTTGATTAGGTATCATCATTTTTAACTTGTAACCCAAGGTAAAACAACTTTTAATAGTTTCGCACTTGTCCATTTCACTATCAAAGTATTTTTAGAGCATAACATCAAAGAGTATCGTGATTTTTTTATGTGACTCGAAAGTTGAACGTTTCTGACTAATTTCCTTTCCAAGTTTACGAATTACGTACCAACATAATTTTATTAAGAATAGACTGCTACAATATGTACTTTTTTAATTATTGGTATTCAAAAGTCAGTACTTGTAGGAAATTAACATCATTATTTTCAGATTTAACTAATTTATTAGTGCAGTAATATTTTTTCTAGAAATACCTACAGAAAAAAATTATTCCGTCGTAATTGAAAATAGTTTCTGGGTTGAATATTAGGAAGAATAGTATTTTAACTTCCTGAAATCCACGTCAGCGACGAAGACGCGGCCATAATAAAGTAGTAATTAAGAGATAGATAAATTTATACAATGTAATGAAATGGTAGACTAGGTAGTAAAATCGAGAATTTATTGAAATAGGAGTGACACGCTGCGGTAATAACCTTAATGCCGGTGCCAAGTTCTACGCAAAAGCCTTAGTGTGTCAAACACCCCTTTCCGCAAATAGACAAATGATTGTAATTCTTTGGCACATATTGCTAGTTCCTTAACCTTGAACGCAGTCAGAACCTGAACTCAACATTGCTAAATTTATGTTTTATATTTATAAAACAGCCACATTTCAAGGAAATACTACAACTTCAAACAACTGCAGCCAAGCAAAAGTCAAATTTAGAATTCGAATTCTCACATGCGCTTACGGTATAATACATGCATATCAGTGGCGTACACATGAAAGGGAGCTGAGCCAGGTAAAATTAAGACAAATAGTAGCTGCTTTAAATAAATATTACAGTCATTTTGACCTAATCTAAATTCGGAAAGAAATGTTATTGTTGTGTAATAAAACACCTTTTAAATTACATTACTACCATCTGGTTACTCTTTACTTAACACCACTATTATTAATTAATCATTAGTTATCCATATTTTTAAATGGACCTTGCTGGAGCATACGTAATCCTAAAATGTAGCATCGTACTACAGATGGCGCTCACCACGCCATTTGTGGTATTTTCTAAAACGCGCTGTTAAGACAGCAGGTAAAAGTTGGTCTGTGTTCTGTCGGAGCTGCCTACGATGCGCTGATGAGATCCAAAAAGATCGAAATCGCGATCCGCGTCTGGCAGTTTCGACAGAATACAGACCACTTCGAATTAT